GATACAAAGCTCTGGTAAATATTTTTATTCTGGAGTATTATAATGCAAGAAATTTATTTATTTATGCCATATTTGCTAAATAGTATGAGAGGTAGATGAACTATTGTGCTTTGCTTTTGCAGTGTCTCATCCAGCCCCAACAATCATTAAGCTGTATAATTATTATTGAGGCCAGCTAGGTCAAGTATTCTTTTCGCCTAGAAGGATTAGAATAATTTTTAAAATATTTCAGCCAATCATCAGCATTGCTGCCTGCTTTCTTCTTTGCAAAAGTCTTCCTTTACTATACGTGGACCGACTATAGAAAAGAGCTGTGATACTAACTGAGGCTGTACAGTATCTCGGAAACTAAATGAGGTGAAGAAATCTGCGGCACATCGAAAGAAATACACACCCATTTCAAGAATACTCATAAGGTTCTAATACATGGACCCGTATCGTGATGCTTTTTTTTTTCAGAATTAACCTACATTTCAGTGTACAAATATATCTTGGGTTAGCTTAACTTGGGTACTTTCAATGATTTGATGCAAAGGATCGGTTACGAAAATTGTGAATCTACTAAGTCTAAATCCAAATTACTAAACTTGAGGCCATTTACCATATTGGAACTATGATTCAACTTTTCACACAAATTCGAATTAGATATCTGTATTACTAACTTTATGTACTGAAAGCAAAAATAACTCATTTCATTTAAAGGAGTGTACTACAGGAGGTGGACGATGATGTAGTTCAATTTTTATCATCTTCAAGCTATAACATAAATAAGTAAAGAGATCACTACATCTGAAATTTGTTTTAAATTTGTCGAGTAGTTGCTAAGTTAGCATAGGTGATCGTTGTGGTTATTATCGATTTTCCCCAAGAAGAATAAGTGGTATCTACGGCAGTAAAAAAGAAGAAGAAATAACACATACATAGGTTTTAAGTAAATTTAGTTAAGTAGGGTTACATCTACTTTCAAAATTTTTAGCTACAGACGCCTGTCTAATCTGGCCCTTTGTAACAAAATAAAGTTTAATTAAGTTGTTCGATTTCACACATTTGAGATACCATCTTTATTCGATTTTTTATGTGTTCCTAAAGCTCAAATATGTTTTCTTTCTCTTTTTTGGTATGCTAATTGCTGCGTAAATTTTATTTGGCAAAAAGACTTTCGAAATCATATTTTCGCAAACGAATGCCAAAATAATTATTTTTTTCGGTACAAGAGCATGAAAAAAATCTACCCTTGTATCGTTAATTTAATAACATAAGAGAATCCTCCACATAATTAAATGCTCGTCGGGCACTTCAGGGTACGTGCGAACTAAATCGTAAAATAAATGAAAAATTCTGAAAGTTCTCTAAACAAAAGCAATTAAAATAATTCTACCAACACTAATATAGGCAAAGGAATCTCTCGAGTTAGCACAAAGGAAGAAGTTTCTGCCATGCAATTTATTTGGTTCTGCTTTCAGACAAAAGTAAAGTAATTTTGCTAATATTTCTTACAGCAGCAAAACTAAAGAAATAATTAACTTGGACAAACGCAAATTGTTTCAATTGTATTATATAAGTATATATAGTAAATATTTTTTTTTTTTATAGAAAAAAGTTAAAAGGAAGTTAAAGACTGAAGAAAATCCTCAATGGAAGTAACTGGAATGAAAATCAGAGAGCGAAAAGAGAGGGCAACGGTAGATAGAATACAACTTTGAAGCGCTTTTCAACGCTGAGAACTTATGCAAATGCAACTGTAATGATTCACATCCCTTGTGTTGTGAGTTACGGAGCGAAAGTGCCAGGAATATATATAACATTTAAATATAGAAGCTGTAAGATCAAAAAGCCACAACCAATTATAAAAACCATGGCAGGTTACTAGGTCATATAGTAACATAAGCTATATGTATGTATGTGCATTTATAATGGAAGAAAAGAAAAATAGAAGTGCAGAAAGTAAGGTAACAAGAAAATTTATAAGTAAAATAAAGGACAAGTAAAAATGGATCTAGAACACAAACAATGAGAAAACTAACGAGCCAGAAGCAAGTAATGAAAAACAATAAAAATCCAGTAAAATTGTAGACAGAAGGAATTAACTTTGAGCCAAAGAGATGAAACTAAACAAAAGAAAATGGGGATATAAAAGCTGGGGATGGCTTATATAGTTATACTCGGTGAAAGCGGTTTGAGAAGATAAAGTGAAAAGGGAATAAATTGAAATACTTCTATCAAAGGTGGGAGCGTAAAAAATGTGCAAATGTTGAGACAATTGTTTTTTTTTTTTTTTTTTTTTTTTTTTTTTGTAGCTAAACGATATAATGGTCAAGAAGATAAGAATTATAGGTTGAAGAATACAACAATATCCTTGAAATACTCCCAACCCTCCATTTATTTTATATAATAAATAATATGTATGTATATGCATGTTTTCTTCGACCTCCATACAATTCACCAGCAAAATAAAAAATGCATTCGATAGAAAAATGCCAAATWTTCAGACTAAACTGTTGACGGCCCATAACAAAAAACCTCAACAACAAAAAAGGTAGTCTCTCCTTCCTTGTGCATTATTTCCCTACTCAATCTTACACCCATATATAAATATTTTTCATAAACACTCCCACTTACACATTAACACATTCGTCGCCTCACTTCAATGCTCCTTTAAGCAATTTACTCTTATCAACCTTTGTTATAGCTCTAAATCTCCGACAAACCGTCAGCTGAGCTATTTATCCTATACAAGTTTCTACATGACTTTCTACCCACACAAACATAAGCATGTATGAAATGCTCTCAGACATCAACAACAATGTCGTCGCCTGTTGTTATGCTTCATTCTTGTGCTTTGCCAAGCAAAATCATTGTCTCTTATTTGTTGTTGGTGTTGTAGCGTTGCACGCATTGTAGCTGTGCTGTACGTGCAATATAAGAGCAACAAGT